TGTCAAAAATTTGAATTGGCGCGTAACCGCAACGATGCAACGCAATAACTGCAACACGGTCTTCTTTAAGCGTTCACTCCATATTTAAAAATGAGTAAAATTCTAAAAAGTATACAGTTTTATTTTCATGAACAATTCAAAATTCGAATTCAATAAACTTTTTTGTGGCCAGCATTCTAAAAGAAAAGTTTTTACTGTGTGACAATACTTATGACCTGACTAGGTAAATATATATATATATATATATATATATATATATATATATATATATATATATATATATATATATATATATATATATATATATATATTTACTTAGTATATAGTTTAGTAGTGAAGAAGCGAGCAACCGTATTCCGCGTGTCCAACGAGGTCATTTTCCATCCTCGCTCATGGTATGGTTGGGAGTTTCTTATTGGGGCTTAACAGAGGTACATTTTTGTGAGAAAGGTGTAAAAATGAATGTAGTTGTGTATCAAAATACAGCCCTGACGAACCTTGTGGAACCTGTTTTTTATACCATGTTCAATAACAGGCACTGGGTATTCCAACAAGATTCGGCGCCAGCTCGTAGAGCGAAGAGCACACAAGACTGTCTGGCGGCGCGTGAAATCGACTTCATCCGGCAGGAAGAATGGCCCTCCTCCAGTCCAGATTTGAATCCGTTAGATTACAAGATATGGCAACACTTGGAGGAAAAGGCGTGCTCAAAGCCTCATCCCAATTTGAAGTCACTCAAGACATCCTTGATTAAGTCAGCCGCCGATATTGACATGGACCTCGTTCGTGCTGCGATAGACGACTGGCCGCGTAGATTGAAGGCCTGTATTCAAAATCACGGAGGTCATTTTGAATAAACTTTAGTAGTGTCATAAGAATCTATGTTTTGTTAAGTTCATTTTGGTATATAAATGGTTACATAATGAATAAACTTGTTTCAATTATTTTATATTAAACATGTGACAGAATTTATGACCCGACTAGGTATATTTATATATAAAAATTACGTGTCACATTGTTTGTTCGCGATGAACTCCTAAACCACTGAACTGATTTCAATGAAATTTTGCACGCAGTTTGGTCCAACTTGAGAGATAGGATAGTTTTTATCCCGATAAGTGACCCTCAATTTTTTTATTGCTAATCTCAGGACGTTTTTTTAGGAAATCAAGTGGTTGTCGGAAAGGGAAGAACAACGTCTGCCTGCCTGGTCAGCTAGCTGACTAGCTGACTAGTATATATATATAATAAATATATATATATATATATATATATATATATATATATATATATATTCATTTGGTTCGATCCTGACACACCACACCACTCTCGCTTCTTTCACATCCACATATCTACGCCACATATGTACCTATATGCTCGTCTTGTCCCAACTTCAATATATCGCCAATTTGATCAATTAACTTTCAATTAGAGCATCCCTTGCCGAATCTGCCTCGAATCTGCCACTCATTTCTGAAATGAAATTCTGCGATGAAAATGTAATTAAGTTTTTATGTTTAAAATAACTATTAAAATAAAAATTATGAAATGATTTTTCAATCATAGTAGAGTTTAATGTTTAATGATTTCGGATTTTAGAAGGCACTTTTAAAGCGAACTAATTAGTGGCTTGAAAACTGAGACTTTCGAATTGGCTATTGGCCAGGCGTTACTTGAGCTTGTAACCTGGTTGTTAACAAGAGCAATATTGAGATTTAGAAAAGTAGGACATCGCTTAAAGTCGCTAAGTAATGTACATCAAATACGTATGTAATATTTCCTTATTAAGTATTTATAAGTTGGATATAAGAAATATTAGGAATCCCGAATTAAGAACGGATTTCTTTGAATTCGCGCCTTCACAGCTTTTATCGTTGCTGGAGTCCTAACAGACCGAGCGCGACCACTTCTTGACCGAGTCTTCATTGTATCGTTTGATGGTACGATAAACGAATCTTTTGGTTATATTCAAATTTTTCAGTATGTCAAAAATTTGAATTGGCGCGTAACCGCAACGATGCAACGCAATAACTGCAACACGGTCTTCTTTAAGCGTTCACTCCATATTTAAAAATGAGTAAAATTCTAAAAAGTATACAGTTTTATTTTCATGAACAATTCGAAATTCGAATTCAATAAACTTTTTTGTGGCCAGCATTCTAAAAGAAAAGTTTTTACTGTGTGACAATACTTATGACCTGACTAGGTAAATATATATATATATATATATATATATATATATATATATATAAATATATATATATATATATATATATATATATATATATTTATATATACAAAATATATAGTATTATGTAACATATTATGTCGGTAGATAACAATAACGGTTTCTACGGCTACCCTGTATTGTGTGAATAAATGATCGTTTACGGTTTCAGTGTGTTTGAATAAACCCTTCCCGTATTCCTTGAATAGCAAGGACATTACAGTGGCGACGAGTTTATATTGTGTGTTAATAATCGATTAACCAACAGTAGAAGTCACGCGTTAAAATGTCTATCTATCTACTCGTATAAGTGCCAGTTTTCGATTGCAAAACAGATGAGTGGGTGGTACACATAGCACAATTAACAACTTCTTTATTGCTAATGGACTCGACGATATCACAGATGCTCAAAGAGTGAGAAGACGGGCAATTTTATTGAATGGCATGTCACAAGACTCATATCGTCTTACTCGTGATTTATTGTATCCAAATACGCATGAATCAACCGATTACAAGGTGATTGTTGCTGCGCTTGACGGCCATTTCGACCCAAAAAAGTGTATATACGCTGAAAGACAAAAGTTTTATTCGGCTAAAAAGGACCCCCACGAGTCGATGGTGGAGTATGCTGCTCGTCTTCGTGGACTAGCATCGGCATATTGTTTTGGTACAGCTCTAGAAATGTGTTTGACGGATCGTTTTGTACTTGGTCTTGACTCTGCGTCTGCCCGAGAGAAATTATTTAGAGAAGATCCCAATCAGATAAAACTAAATAAAGCACTTGAAGTAGCTTGTGCAGTTGAAAGTGCGCAGCGTATTGTTTCCGCTGGCGATTCAACAGAGTTAATTAAGTCTGAACCTGTGCTATATATGGACTCGCGGCGAAAAGTTACTGCAAGCGGCGGTACACGAGGCGGTCGCGCCCGTGGTGGCGGTGACGGCGGAACCCCCAGGTGTAGTGTATGTGGTGCGAGGTCACATGATACCTACGTATGTGGCTATCGTCATCTGTCGTGCAATTTGTGTGGTGGAAAAGGACATTTAAAAAGAATGTGTTCTAAGAGATACTACGTACATAACGAGATTACAACCAAAAAGGACAAAATTGTAAAAAAGCAGCATAATGGTATGCAGAATAATTACATTTTGGAAGGTAGTAATAGGGACGAATGTAATGATTTTTCACCAATTAATAATGTTAGAAATATAAATAATGAATCACGTCTTAATACTATTTTATGTAAGGAAGAAAAACCGATATCTCTTGAAGTTATAGTGCGAGCAGCGCTGTCCGCGCGCATATTATGATATATGTATTTCTCGCGAAACTTGTCGCTCGGTGAGTCCAATAAAACTTTATATACATACAGTGGTTCTGCTTTAAGGCTATTGGGCATGTGTTACTTACCAGTCACATATAATAATGTAACGCATAATATGAAATTTTATGTTGTCGAAAATGGCCCGGTTCCCTTACTCGGTAGGGACTTTATGACAAAATTTAATTTCGCTTTTATCTCTTTAAATTATTGTTCAGTAGATAAAGAAAAAATTATTTTGTCGAAATATAAAACATTATTTTCTGGTAGGTACGTTCAATAAGTATAAGTTAACGCTACACTTAAAAGAAGTTGTCACACCAAAATTTTTTAAAGCTAGGCCGGTGCCCTTTGCGCTCAAAGATAAGGTAAGCGCAGAATTGGACCAATTAATGCGCGCTGGCATACTCAAACCGGTTTCTTATTTCTAATTACGCGTCACCGATCGTTGCGGTATTAAAGAAAAATAATAACGTACGTATTTGCGGCGATTATTCTATGACGATCAATATAAAATAATAAGTGAGTTATGTGCATCGTTACACGATTGTCGTTACTTTAGTAAGCTTGATTTATCAAATAATTATAATCAGTTCCTTCTAGATGATGAGTCACAAAAATATACATGTATCAATACGCATAAAGGTCTTTTTGTATATACGAGATTAGTGTTCGGTTTGTCAAATGCACCAGCTTTGTTCCAGCGTGCTATGGTGCAACTGCTGCAGGGCATAGATGGCGTGGAGTGTTTCCTCGACGACTTGTTAATCGTGGCTCCGACCGCCGAATTACATTGGGAACGTGTCGATTTGGTATTAAGTCGTCTAAAAGGCGCCGGGCTAATGTTCCAGCGGTTGAAATGTTCATTCTTTGAAAATAAAATAGAATATTTGGGTTTTGTTATAGATCGTTTTGGCATTCATAAAAATCCGGATAAAATAAAGGCTTTTACACAAGCAAAGGTGCTAGGAAACGTCCGACAGTTAAAATCATTTTTGGGTTTAGTTAACTTTTATCGTAATTTTATACCGCAAGCGGCGGTCATTCTTGAACCATTACATAATTTACTGCGAAAAAATATGAAATGGGAATGGACGGCGGAACATCAGAAATCATTCGATGCTATCAAAGACGAGTTATGTTCAAGTCGCATACTGGCGCACTTTGACCCGCGGCAGCAGCTAGTTCTGACAGTGGACACGGCGCCCGCCGGGCTGGGCGCGGTGCTCGCCGTGCGCTACCCCGCGGGGACCGAGCGCCCGATCAGTTACGTTTCGCGTGCTCTGACTAAAAGTGAACGTGGCTATAGTCAAATTATGAAAGAAGCGACTGCTATTATTATTGGAATCAAAAAATTCCATCAATATCTTTATGGCTGCCATCAACCATAGATTTTGAGAACAGACCACAAGCCCCTCCTTTCTATTTTCTTCCCCGATAAAGGAGTTCCTCATATGACCGAAGCGAGACTGCAACGGTATGCTTTATTTCTTGCTGCCTATAATTATAAAATTGAGTTCATTAATAGTGAATCTAATGTAGCTGATTATTTGAGTCAGTTTCCCATTGATTGTGATTCGTCGCAGGATACGGCGAACGTAAATGACGTCACCAGTTATGTTAACGCGCTAACGGCTGCTGGCGCGCCACTGCCCGCTTCATTAGACGAGTTGCGGGCAGCCTTTCATAAAGATAAAGTTCTGTCACTTGTCATGCAATATGTGACCAAATCGTGGCTACGGATAGTGTCATCAGAACTTTTGCCATATAATAGATGCCAGTATGATGTTGATAGCGGAGTTCTCATGAGAGGTCACAGAATTGTAGTGCCTACTGTTTATAAGGCTGCTGTGCTACAAGAACTGCATGCTGCGCACTTAAGAGTAATTAAAATGAAAATGATTGCTAGAGAGCGCTGTTGGTACCCGGGTATCGACAGTGACATAGAAAATATGGCTTCTAACTGTAGTCGTTGCATATCCTTGCGACCGTCTCCTGCGAAAGCGCGCTTGGAGTCGTGGGGGTGGCCTGACTCTGTTTTCGAAAGAATCCATTTAGATTACCTCGGCCCAATTCATGGAAAGATTTTTCTTGTACTAGTCGATGCGCATAGTAAATGGATCGAATGCGAATTAATGTCAAATTTTTTATCAAAAGCGCTTATCAGTAAATTAAAAAAAAATTCACGTTTCGGCATTCCCAATAAAATAGTCACAGACAATGCTAAAACCTTTGTTTCTTCTGAATTTTCTAAGTACTGTACTGATAATGAAATAACTCACATTTTATCTCCTGCGTACTCGCCACAGAGTAATGGACTCGCTGAGAACACAGTAAAGACTTGTAAACGGTTTATTGTTAGTGCTGTCAAGGACTGTGGTTTTAAAGATTTCCCTAACCACTTAGATAACTATTTGTTTCACTATCGGAATACACCGCATTGTACGACGGGAGTATCACCTACATCGCTTATGTTCGGTCGGAATTTACGTTGTAAACTTGATTTAATCGCTGTTAAGCGCTCAAATTCAGATCAAAAATCTCTAATAAATAAAAATGTGTTAGTGAATAAAAATCGTCAAAAATTATGTTTTAGTGGTAAAATTAAAGCATTTTCAATTGGGGAAAAAGTTTGGGTACGAGACTGTCGAGCTAATCCAAAAAGACCAACATGAATCCTTGGCCAGGTTGTTGCACGTTTAGGTAAAGTTCTATATGATGTGGCTATACAGAGATTTGATATCATTTGGAGACGTCATGTGAATCAGTTAATTTCAGCCAAATTATATAACAGCAGTCGTGGTGAAGCGGCGTGGACGTTTGAGGAAATGGACGTTTGGAGCACAGCAGATCCCAGTGCCACCTCTCATGATACACTGGCATCATTACCTCTCAACAGCCCAGGCGGTGCGCTATCCGCACAACCACCGGGACCTGACAGCGGTGAGGCGGCACCGGTGCTGACTCACGCGGAGTCTGATATGGAAGACGTATGCCCACCGCCTCAAACCTCCACGACCATGCGCACTCCATCTGGCCGCGCTATAAAACCACCTAAACGCTTAATTTTATAATATTTATACTTACTAAATGTAATGTAAACATTTGTTTTGTTTATGATTATTTTTTGTGTATTCATAATAAACGTGGAGGAGAGGTGTTAAAGTCGAGTGATTAATGTCAATTTTTTTTGTATAGATAAAACCGTTTTAACAGTGGTAGAGCTAAGCGGTAGCCTTTGCTGTCGCACGGATGGGCCAGCTCGAACCGGGGTGGTACCACGACATCACAGAATACCAGCGTGAAGTAGAAGTTTACCTCTGCGTTGCGCTTGGTGAGTGCATGTGGCTCTAGGCCCAATTCCCCCCCCTCCCCAATCAACATAGTAGTGGAATTAAATAAAATACTACCCCAGGAGGGGGGGGGGGGGAATTCCGCTCGCGACTAATGCTGCTCGGGGCAAGCGGAGCAATACAACCAAGGCGACCCCTGTCGCGCTATCCGTGAATTTTTGCAACATCAGGGGACTTCATTCCAACCTTAACGCTGTCCATTACCATCTAGAGACGGCGAAGCCGGCCTTGCTCTTTTTAACCGAGACTCAGGTGTCCTCTCCGGCTGATACTTCATATCTCTCCTACCCGGGTTACAAATTGGAACACTCCTTTGTGCCCCGGGCTGGAGTTTGCGTATACGTCAGAGAGGACTGTTTTCGACGCCTCGGCAGTCTTGAAGGTACGGACCTGTCCATCCTATGGCTGCGCGTAGACAGCGATGACCATCCCCGCGTCTACGGGTGCCTCTATAGGTCCCATAGCGGTAATGCCGACACAGACCGACTCATCGACCACGTCCAAATGGCTGCAGACTCCGTGCTACAACAGGTCCCATCCGCAGAGATCGTGATACTCGGTGATTTTAACGCCCACCACGCTGAATGGTTTGGTTCTCGTTTAACCGATCATGCCGGTAGATCTGTCTATGACTTTGCTTTGGCATATGGTCTAACACAACTGGTTACTTCGCCTACGCGCATCCCAGATGTGGAAGACCATGTACCTTCCCTGTTAGACCTTCTGCTGACCTCTCATCCGGACGGATATCAGGTCTCCGTCGATGCCCCTCTGGGCTCTTCGGACCATTGTCTTATCCGGAGTACGGTGCCACTCACGCTCCAATCGCAGTTGCGATCTGCAGCTTGCCGCCGTGTTTGGCACTATAGGTCAGCTGATTGGGACGGGATGCGGTCTTTTTTTGCATCCTACCCTTGGGGGCGGGTTTGCTGCTCGCCGGAAGATCCCAGCATTGTTGCCGATTCTGTTACTGATGGGGTACTTCAGGGTATGGAACTTTTTATTCCAGCCTCTGTGGTGCCCATCAGAGGCAGATCCCAGCCATGGTTTGGTCGCTCCTGTAAAATAGCATCACGCTATAAGCAGGAGGGCTAACGGGCCTGGGCTGACGCATCAACGTCTCGAGATGTAAACACCAGCGCACTTAAAAAGCAGTATAATTCCGCCTCCAGGTCCTTCAAAAGCGTCATTGCCAAGGCAAGGTCTGAGCACATCGACAGAATTGGCGAAAAGCTAGTTCGCCTTCCTTCGGGAACCCGTGCATTCTGGTCTCTCGCCAAGGCTGTCCAAGGGAACTTCTTTCAGCCATCTCTTCCATCTCTGCACAGAGAGGACGACTCACTGGCCCATGCCGCAAAGGAGAAAGCCGATCTGTTGAGCTCTCCTTTTGCGTCCAACTCGACTCTAGATGACGGGGGAACACACCGCCGACCATCCCGCGATGTGAGTGCTCCATGCCGGATGTGCGGTTTACACAGCGCTCGTTTCGCAAAGCACTCTTCTCCCTGGACGTCAGCAAGTCGAGTGGGCCCGATGGAGTCCCTCCCATTGTGCTGAAGACGTGTGCTCCGGAGCTGGCACCGGTTTTAATGTGTCTTTTCCGGTACTCCTACTCCCAAGGCGTAGTCCCTAATTCATGGAAGACAGCTTTGGTCCACCCGATCCCTAAACAAGGCGACCGCTCAGACCCGTCCAACTACAGGCCTATTGCCATCACCTCCTTGTTCTCCGAAATAATGGAATCCATTATAAACTGCCAGCTCATGAGGTACCTTGAGGATCACCAGCTGATTAGTGACCGCCAGTACGGTTTTTGTCGAGGTCGATCAGCTGGTGATCTTCTAGTCTATCTGACTCATAGATGGGCGGAGGCAGTAGAGTCTAAGGGGGAGGCATTGGCCGTTAGTTTGGACATAGCGAAGGCCTTCGATCGGGTCTGGCACAAAGCGATTCTTTCGAAGCTTCCTTCCTATGGGCTTCCCGAGAAATTGTGCAAATGGATCACCAGTTTCCTTGCTGATCGGAACATCAAGGTCGTAGTAGACGGTGCATGCTCTGATTTCAAGCCTATCAACGCTGGTGTTCCACAAGGCTGCGTGCTATCACCAACGCTGTTTCTCCTGCATATCAATGATATGTTGCTAACTGGTAGCATTCATTGCTATGCAGACGACAGCACTGGTGATGCCTTATATACCGACCGTGCCAATATTTATCGGGAAAACGTCGCTGAGTACCGGGACAAACTTGTGTCTGAAGTCGAGTCTTTGCTTAACAAAGTCTCAGATTGGGGCCGACTAAATCTAGTCCAGTTCAATCCCCAAAAGACACAAGTTTGCGCGTTTGCCGCTAAAAAGAACTCCTTTGTCGTATCTCCTCAGTTTCAAGGCACTCCCCTTGCTGCCTCAGCTGGTATCGGAATCCTTCGCGTCGACATATCGAATAGTATGCAGTTTCGTGGTCACTTGGAAGGAAAGGCCAAATTGGCCTCTTAAAAGCTTGGCATTTTTTTTTCATGCATTTCACGCATTCGGCCCCACATGGAATACTGTTCTCATCTCTGGGCCGGGGCACCCCAGTGCCAGCTCCTTCCACTTGACCGCATCCAGCGCAGAGCGATTCGAATCGTCGACGACCGAGTTCTTTCTGATCGGCTCGATACACTGGCACTGCGTAGAGATGTTGCATCTCTTTGCGTTTTTATCGCATCTATCACGGGGAGTGCTCTGAGGAATTGTTCGGACTAATTCCAGCCGCTCAATTTCACCATCGCACATCGCGACAAAACTCGCGTTACCATCCATACCATCTGGATGATTGGCGGTCCACCACTGTGCGATTTAGAAGAAGTTTTCTCCCTCGCACAACTTCCTTGTGGAATCAATTACCACCAGCGAATTTTCCGGACCGATACGACTTAGGAACCTTCACGAAAAGAGCTTACACCTTTCTAAAAGTACGGCAACGCATCTGCAATTCCCCTGGTGTTGCGGTTTTTCATGGGCGGCGGTAGTCACTTACCATCAGGTGAGCCGCATGCTCGTTTGCCCCCTCTTCTACAAAAACAATGTATGTATTGTACTATATGTCGTTTTGATTTATTTTATACTAAATTGTGTCAGCGCAACATGTCTATCAATTCTACATATCAATATTTCAATTTTAATTATACTTTAATTAAAAATATACAATAACCAATATTAAAAACTATAATAATAATAAAGGCATTCGACTCGGTGCCTCATACATGGCTTAAGAGGGTCCTCGAGCTGTACAAGGTCGACTGTACAGTTCGAGACTTCCTCGGGCAGTGTATGGGGCAGTGGAGTACGATCCTTTGTCATCTAGGCCAGCGGATGACGGCTGCGGAGAACCACATAAGGATAAGAAGGGGTATCTTCCAGGGCGATTGTTTGAGTCCAATCTGGTTCTGCCTCTCTCTGAATCCTCTCAGTACCTTACTGGAGGGTTCCGGAAGGGGATTTCAGCTTCGGAAAGGAGGTATAAAAGTGACCCACCTTTTCTATATGGATGATCTCAAGTTATTCGCCTCCAGTCGCTCCCATCTTGTGGAATTGCTAAACATCACTTGTGATTTTAGCAATTCTATTGGAATGGAGCTGGGGACGGATAAGTGTGCGATCCTACATGTCGAAAGGGGAAGGGTTGCTAACTCTGAGGGCATGGACTTATCTATGCCCATCAGCATAAGGACCCTTTCCGAGGCTGAAACATACCGATACCTGGGTATGTCACAGAACATCGGTGTCGATGAGGCGGGTATGAAGCAGTCAGTTTGCGATGTGTTTTATGCACGCTTGACAAAAATGCTTAACAGTCTTTTGTCGGGCGTTAATAAGACACACGCTTATAACGGTTGGATCATGCCTGTTCTCATGTATACCTTTGGCATACTCAGGTGGACTCAGACCGAACTGAACGCTCTGGACAGAAAAGTCCGCACTATAATGACGTCCCACAGAGTGCATCATCCGAGATCGTCGGTAATGAGGCTGTACTTGCCGCGGAGGCATGGTGGGCGCGGCTTTTTAAGCGCGCTTACCCTGCATAATCGCGAAGTGTGCAGCCTCCGTAATTATTTTCTGGCGAGAGCGGATGATCCATTCTATAGGGACGTTATTTTTTGTGATAAAGGACTTACCCCTCTATCCTTAGCCAACGAGCAATGGCAAGACCCGGAAGTACAGAGCATTTCCGACCGGGAGACCGTATGGAAGGAGAAGGAGCTCCACGGGAGGTTCTACAAGGCTCTACATGAGCCTTTCGTAGATACAGTTGCCTCCCTCCACTGGCTACGTTTC